AACAGGGATCTGTCTGGACAACACAAGAAAAGTGGTGGGGAGAGCACCCTGACTGGTCTCACCTCGGTATCCACAGGTAGGGTTCCTGCAGCCCCAGGGACTAATCACCGATTTCCTCATCTACTTCACGCCGAAATTCCCAAAGAACTCCCCTACTTTTCTCTTACATGGAGTCTCAGTCTTAAGAATGGGCAGACTTCCAGGTATTAACTTCTGCATTCTCATTCAGAATTTAGAACACACTTTCCTACTAAAAAAATGTTATAAAGAATGTCAGTGAGCTACACAGCCAACATAATTCATAAGTTAGCAAAACTACTGTATTTTTTCTTAAAAGAGGAAGACAGACCTGTTGGCTAAAATGAAATGACATGGTTTATATCTCCCCTAAAAGGCATCCCGCTCCAGCCTGCCTCTCAGTCTCTGACAAATGCAGTGATGGTGGCCGACCCCTGATAGGCCGTGCTGGGCAGACCCAGCCTCTGCTCTCCTCCCACACCCGCGTCTCTACCCCCTGTCCAGTAAGTACCACAGACAGGAAGCTTCACCCACTGGGGTTCACTTCTCAAATGCAAACCCCCAATCCAGCACTCATGCCCCAGCCCCTCCCTCACCAGGCGCTCACCTCTGGCCCCGTCCACCTGCCCACATCACCCAGGGAAGCCCCGTCAGCCAGGACCCCGTGCCCAGGGCCTGCTGAGACATGCAGCCAGCCAGTCCCAATCCTGCCCGCAGCCTCCCCACTCCTCCAGAAACTGCCACAGGGGCTCCTGCCACAGGCTGTCTCTCCCTCTGCTCCTGACCCTCCCAGGGATTGGCTTGGGATCCGTGAGTACAACACAACGTGTGGGTGGCAGTTGTCGGCTGACCTGTCGGCCTGGCCACCCCTAAGTAATGCCAGAGCCTCTATTTTAAAACACCCTCTTCCCCTCGCTTCACGTCCACCTCCTGCACCTGACGGTGACACAGCTTCTGCGGATCGTGTGGTTGGTGAGCACACGATGGACAAGCAGACGGCATCTCTGGGACAACAGACCAGCACGGCTCAGACCGGGCCCTTCGGGTGGCAGCCCTGGCCCTGACCACCTGAGGACACGCTTCCTATGAGCTCAGCCAGAGCTCAGGAGTGAAGGCGGGAAGGTGCCGATGAGGAAAAGAGATGCAACAATGAGCAAATGCTCGTGATGACTCTTAAGGACACATAATCCTGCTGCCTGCCTGCTCCATGCACTTCACCCTTTGAGCTCTAAGCCAGTCTCCCATAGTCAGAGCCAACACCGACTTCTGGACGTGAACAATGCAGACCCGTGCTTTCCTGGGGAAAGGGAGCTACGCAGTGTGGTCACCTGCACAGTGTAGCCACCTGCACACAGTGTGGCCGCCTGCACACAGTGTGGCCGCCTGCACACAGCGTGGCTGCCTGCACACAGTGTAGCCAGGTGCACACAGCGTGGCTGCCTGCACACAGTGTGGCTGCCGGCACACAGTGTAGCCAGATGCACACAGTGTGGCCACATGCACACAGCGTGGCCGCCTGCACACATGGCTGCCCACACAGGACCGGGCAGGAATGGCCAGACTCTACTGCAGGCTTCTCTAAGCTCAGGGCTCCCATAGCGGTAACCCAGACGCTGACAATAAACATAGGAGAGGTGCTCAGTGTAGGATGCTGCATTACTTGTGACCTTCTCACTGGGGAGAAATCTCTACATGGCCATTCTTGAGGCCTAACTACTTTTTAAGTTAGAAGCAAAAGATTACAGGCCCCAGCTGTGAGATATTTCTCCATAATTAAAGTGAAAAACCACACTGAATCTGTCCCCAGTATATTCATAGCAGCATTAAATAGATACAAAGTAATAAAGGAACCAGCCTAAATACTTGGAGTCTCTGAAATCTTGAAAATTTTGGAGTCTCATAAAAATGACAGTGAAACGGAAGTGCGCAGAATGCTAAGGCAGTGAAGACAGCGGGAGCGCACGTGCACTGACGGACACAGAGTCTGTGACTCGTTCAAGCGAACGGCGATGTTCTCTAGACAGGCTCGCTCCCAGGCGGTGATGGACGTCAGCAGGAAGGACACGTCCGAGAAGAAACGTCACGTTTCTGTGGCTGTAGCCACGCTGTACTTGGCTGTGGGCTGTGGGCAACCAGCTGTCCAGGGTGTGGGTGTGGAGACCCCATGCAGCACACCAGGGAGCAGAAACAGGGAGCCCCCAGCTCTGCCTCCTGACAGAATCCCTCCTGAGGTCTGGCCTCGGGTTGGAGCTCCCGGGCGCTGTGTGCAGGCCCAACACAGTACAACTGCCCTGACTCAGCACTGGCCTTGCGGAACTGGCGGGTCAGCAGCAGACCGGCCGGCACCCGCGGACTGGACTTGAGACCCTGCTCTGCCTTGTCTCTTAGCCTCTCTACACCGTGGTTTCCCCTCCTGAAGGTAGCTCTCCTGTGGGCAGTTTAAAACCAGGAGAGTGAACAGAATTACATCGATATCTGCAGCCGTTTGGTGCATTGGACCAATCACGACGGTTTTCGTTTCTGTGAACCCACTCTGCGTCTCCCCCTTTGAAACAGACGAGAGGCTGAGATATGGCCACAGAGTAAGAGACGCGGGTCTGCTCTCCTCCTGGCTCCTGGCGCAGGCTCCTGAGACCCTGGGGTCCATCGTTGGTGACTACTCACAACAGCCCTCCCTCCACTCAGGTCTTGCCCACAAGGGGACCCCTGGCGGCCCCTCCAAGGCCTCAGGACAAGGACTGTTTGCAGAAGAGCAAACCATGGGATCAAAGGACTAGAACGTCCCCTCACCCCTCCTCCCCCACCTACTGGGGGACAGGTGCTGAGAACCAGGTTAATCAGCAATGGCCAGTGATTTTAATCCACTGGGGCCTGGAATGGAAGGTCCACACCCTGAGGAGGAAGCGTGTGCGCGTCGGGGGGAGAGCGCACCATCGTGCAGGTGCCACGCCCAGAGGGGACACAGAAGCAGCACCTCATCCCTCCCACCCTCTGTCCTGTGAGCCTCTTCTCTCTTCTGCTCCTGAGCTGTGTCCTGTATAATCCTATCTAATAAAGAGGGAATATGCTAATTGACCCCACACCATTGCAAAGATGGCGGCACCCACAGCCAATGAGGGAATATGCTAATTGACTGTCCTGTGCACCTCTTCTCTCTTCTGCTCCTGAGTTGTGTCCTATGGGCAATAAGCCAACGACAGTGAGAAACCTGCTTCCTGCGTTTTGCGAGCTGTTCTAGCAGATTATCAACCATGACGGTGGGTGTGAGGGGGCAGGTGTGGGAGCAGCTGGTCTCTGAAGGGGAACCTGTGGAACTCAGTCATTACCTGTGAGTCCCTGCCACGCCTGGAGTCAGTGTCAGACAGCAGAGAGCAAAAGAATTGCTGGTGTGTCAGTCCCACACGTGCAGTATCAGTGTTGGGAGCAGGAGCGAGGGTACCACAGGCCAAGATGACCGCACATCTCGACAACGTGTTTGCACGTTGGGAGAAGTCCATGGAAATACCATGAACCGGGAAGAGCAGCCGGGCAGTGATGGAAATGCAATGAGACAGCACACCATCAACGTCAAACACATTCCCAAATAAATGATTTCCTGAAGCCGACAGACAGTAGGAACTGTGCAACCTCACTGCTTTCCCGGTGCTCACACTGCATCATCACACAGACCCCAACTGTGGGAACAGCACCAGGGCACTCCCTGTTACTCCTCACACCTCCTCATGCCTCCACTCACTGCTCCTCAAGCCCCTTCCAAGACACTTTCCTCCGTACCTGGGACACGCCCTGTAAGAGGGCCACCGCACAACCATGCACCGCCTGCGAGGAGACTTCTCATGACAAAGCCACGGGCACAGCCACTTCCCCGCACTCTCCCCTGACTGCAGCTGGGCTGGGAAGACCCCAGTTAGACAAGTGGAAGAGCAGGAACCCACTGCAGACACCTGTGAGGACGCCAGCCTGTGCACCGAGAGCTGAGCTGTGGAAGGGCACCCAGTGTCACCAACATGTGCATAAGGGCGCTCTGCCCACAGCCTGTCTCTCAGCTCCTGCGAGCAGTAAGGCTCGCCCTGGGTCGGGGCCAGCCCGGCACCTGCACCAGGTGGTGTCAGAACCAGCTCAGGAGAAACCTCCCTCGTGGGAAAAGCCTGTGTGCAGCTCAAATCGACGTCAGCAGCCGAGGATCATGGACAGGAAAAGGGGCCTGCACGCACGGAAACGGCCGACTGGTGGCTACACTTCGCCTCGTAGACGTGAACGCGTAGCAGTTCTCTCCTGTGCACCCACGTTCCTGGTCCCTCATCTCCCATCTGACCTTGGCCCCACTGCCCGCCTGCATTCCTTCTGTCTCTCACTGGCCACTCTGACGTACCCCAGCAGTTTGGTGACAAATCCCTGGTCTATAGATGGAGGCAGGGAGGCCAGCTGGTCTCTAAGCTGATGGAGCACCTTGTGCTCAGGGAAACCATGTTTAAAATAAACGTTCTATTCCTCTTGCTTTGTTTTCTTTGTTGGATAAACATGCCTATTAGGGCTGCGGACACGGAGTCTGTGAAGTGTACATCAACCTCGTCTGAGGTTGTAGCTGGGATTTTTGAAGGGACAGACTTCGCTTCCCTGCATTTGGCTGTTTGCCTGCGTCCTGTGGCATCAAAGATGAGACCCACTTTGCTGGTCTGTGGGTTAGAAAGGTGGTGAGGAAGGCTTCGTGGTGCTCAAGGTCACAGGGGTCATAAGGCCGAGCAGACCGACCGCTCCTCCCACCAACACAGTGGCCATACGTTTTCCTTTTTCTGGGCGCTCATAAGAAGCACGACTTGACAACAGGCAGTTTCCAAGCCTTAAAGAGGCTTCGCTCCCGCCCTAAAACAATGCCCCACAGCAAAGCGCTGCATCGGGACCATGGCGCGGAGATGGGCAGGAGCCCTCCCCGCACACGTGTGCCCCACGCCCAGGACCGAGCACTCGGCACAGCCACTTACCCAGATCTGAAGCTTGATTCTCTTCTCGTTCTTGAACACAGTCTTCACTTTGAAGTCGATGCCCACGGTGCTGACAAAGGCGGACGTGAAGGAGTCGTCCGCGTAGCGGAACAGGAAGGAGGTCTTGCCCACGCTGCTGTTGCCGATGATGAGCAGCTTGAACATGTAATCAAAGTTCTGGTCGGAGGAGTCTTTCTGGCCAGACCGGGCGTCCTGGGCGGTGGCCATCTGTGGGGGAACAAGGAGGGGTCAGCCCACCGTGGATGGCAGCAGCACCCACTCGCATGGGCTGTGAGCAGATGTCAGGCCCTGAGGACAGGCAGTGGCTCTGTCCCTGAGGCGTGTCCATGACCATTGGTCCCCCTGCAAGGTGGGGGCAGGCCCACAGCTGCCCAGCTGCACTGGCGCTGGCCCTGCACGGCATTCAGAGCCAACCAGAGCACCAAGGGGGCGTCCATGGGCGACATGAAAAGCAAAGATGTGAGGACGGGCTGGGCACGTGGGCTCCGACACACAACCCGGCGAAGGCAACACCACAGGTCCGAGCGGCAGGAGCTGCTTCCCGAGGGACCAATAACTAGAGGCTCCCGTCTCCGGGGCAAGCACACCCAGGCGTCTCTGTTTCATCTATTCCTATCGTGTTACCACAGCGGCCGAACACACGGCAGCTCTTTCAAATCGAGAACCAGGACGATGGCAAGTACATATGGTTCACACAACGTGCCGGGAACCAGCCATTCCTTTAACCCTCATGACTGCCCAGGAGGCGGGTGCCTCATTATCTCCACATTAAAAGGAGAACACGGAGGCTTAGCAGCATGGAGCAGTGCTCAGTTTCAGTGACGCGTCCCAGAGGCGTGCGGGCAGGCCCTCCATCCTGTCTCCAGCAAGGACGGGACTGTCACCTGGGAAAGACCAAGGGGGAGGCTATGCTCTGGGAGTGCATCGACGAGGAACCCCATCTGGATCAGCCACACACACCCCCGCCCACCACATGCTCCTGTTTGTTACTGTAAGTCTGCACCTCACTTCCCTCTCACGTGAAATGGAAGAAATTGTGACCTCACTTGGGACATGTGTGAAAGTAACGCTCGTAGAGCAGACGTGTAGAGCACCGGCCCAGCATGGAGAAGGCTGCTGTTAACCACACATGCTTTACTCAGCGGCTGTTGCTTCTCTTTCTCTTTTTTAAATGATCACCTAACATCTACGGAGACCGAGCAGCCTCACTTCCAAGTGCCATCTGGCTCGTGCAGAAGAGGCACGTGGAACACGGAGTCACGTTCATCTTCCCGCCCCTTTTCTGACGCGATGAATCTTCGGCGATCACCACTGGTCACGGGCACCTGTTCTACTTCATGACAATGGAATGAGATAAGCACCCAGAGCCTCCGCCACACGTCACAGGCGCCCACGGTCACTGCACTGGACAGGACGGGCCCCAGCACGGTCCTCAGGGCAGAGAGTCCTCAGGGCAGAGCGAGGCCACACTGTCCTTTCCATTTCCCACAGAATTGGATGAACAATTACAGCTTCCTGAGGGGGGAGGCAAAGAGCGAGGCCAGTGGACAGGGGGACAGACGCTAGAAACAGAACAGAGTGCTCAGCCTCACCCACGCCAAGGTTGTTGAGGTCAGGTGTGCGTGTGCATGTGCGTGCATGTGCGTGTGTGTGTGTGTGTGTGTGTATGTGCATATGTGCATGTGTGCACGTGTTTATAGACAACTGAGGGCCATGGAGAAAGGGAGACGGTAAGATAACATATTCCCTTTCGACAAATACTTACTGCCAGTAAGAGAACACAACTGTGCGTGTAAGAATAAAGACAAAAGAAAGCCAGTCGATATTATAAAATGGTGAGTGTGCTCACACTTCCTTACTAAGTACACGCATAGGCATTTCTCTTTTTAAGTCAAGTAACGACACCGAGGTCTCCAGTCATTACGAAACGCACAGCACTGGCCAGAGGGAAGGCCTGGCCCCTAAACAGCAGGTGTCCCCACTTCCCTTTCTGGCTCAGGGCAAACCCCCCACGAGTACCAGCCAGGACAGACCCAGGGACGTAACCCTGACGTCGGGTGAGCAGTGAGGTCTGGCTCTGAGGCCACCGGCACCCAGACCGCCTGGTGGCTGTGTTGCTGGCACATTCCTGCCAACGTCGTCCTTTCAGCTCATGCAGCTGCCGAGCTCAGCCAGGCCTGCGAGTGCCTTTGTTGGATCCTGTCACCATCTTTTATGGAAACCAGCCCAGATCCTGGTTCTGGGTTGGCCACGTTCAGTCAGGCACAGTGAGGACAGACAACACAAGCCCAGGCTGCTCACTGCTCAGCCTGACAGCGACCACTGAGGGGGGATGCTCCTGAGCCCCGTTCCCTCAAAAAAAATGTGGTAAATTCTCTGCTGCTGTTAATCCCAAATCTTATTCCAAAATTAGACGCTTCCAAACCTGCAGAAATAGAGACCTCCTCAATGTACAGACTTTGAATATAATTGTGGAGGTTTAGGTGGAGAAAATCGCAGCGCAGCTTTCCCCCGGCAGGAACTGAGTATGTTCATCCTTGCGTCTGCTCATCCTCTGTGCTGGGAGCAGAGAGGAGGGTGGCACAGAGGGCTCAGGCGAGGGAGGCAGAGCTGCGGGGATGGGGACCCCAAGCCTCTGAAGGGTTAAGGAGAGGAGTTTGTTAACTGCTATTCTGGAAGATTTCTGTTACTATTTCCTGATTTATATCCCCAGTAAGACTCACAGAGAGCCAAGAAGCTGTGCTTGGGAACACATGTGTATTATTAAACTTTAGAATAAAGTAAATCCTGGCTCAGAGGGTGGACAGAGAGCCGGGCGCCTTGCTGAGAACAGAGATGGGCAGTTCGACGGGAATGTAGAGGGAATCACAGGCATGCACTGAGCGAGTATACTGACACCCTACACACCAACTCATGTGGACATTTTCCACATTTTCATGGAAAAATAGAGCTAAAATCTGGAAACATGAATAGGCATGAAGTAACCTCCCACAGAGCAAACCGGATTTCAGAAAAGATAACTCTTTAAGTTCCATTCATCTTGAATTAATTTCCAACAAAAGCACCACACAGTAAAACGAGTCTTGAGGGCAGTGCCACCTCCCCTGACCCCGGCCCCCTTCCCAGCACCCAGGCTCAGGGAGACTCTGTCCTGCCCTTCACACGAGGGGCCAGAGTGAGCCAGCTCTGAAGCAGCCTATGTCTCGGCTAAACAACTGCAATGGCCATACATTTTTTTCTTGGATTTCTGTGAAAATTCCCTCCTGTAGCTTCTGCCCGTGTGTTCTAGATTCTGCCAGTAGGTCCTCTCCCATCGGAGGGACCGCTGGTGTCTCAGGGACCAAGCACGGCCCCGAAGCGTCATCTGCTCCTCTGGGTGGTCCCAGCTGTGAGGCTCACACGGACATCTCTCCGGGGTCGGCACAGGGGAAAGTGTGCTGTTATGTTCAAACACACATGACTTATTGTAAAGACTCCTGGAAGGCTCAGCACTTTTTCACATTAATTGTCACACACACAGGTCTCCCCTATCCCGGCCCATCCTTGGGCAATTTATTTTTAATGGAAATGTCAATCTTTATATTGACCCTATTACATTTTCTTTTGTTTGCTTTGATCTGTGATTTAATTCAGATCTGATCGTTTTATGTCCTTTCATCAAAAATAGTAGTTATCCATTCCATATTTGTGTCATTTATAAGTTTGATCAATACGAATTTAATATATTCATTGAAGACCCTGATCAAAATGCAAATCAGATAGAAGACAAAAAAAATGAACTTGTTATGGTGTTGAATCTATACATCCATGCATGCGACCTCTACAGTAGAGGTCTTCTCTGAGGAATTGGACATTTGGGCGCAAATCATTCACCCTGGGCGCTGAGCTTTAAAAGGGTCTGCACACTGGATGCCGCTGCCCAGACAAGCTGAGTTCTGGAAACTCTTTAGCCCCTGGAGAGGCAGGCCCTCTGTGGGCTCGGGCTGTGGTGTGACCTGTTGCAACTCCCTGTCAGACATGAGGAGGTCCACCCAGCAAGAAGAAGGCACTGTGTCCTTTTTTAAAAAAATTGATTTCAGAGAGGAAGGAAGAGGGAGAGAGAGAAACATCAATGATGAGAGAGAATCATTGATTAGCTGCCTCCTGCACACCCCCTACTGGGGATCAAGTCTGTAACCCGGGCATGTGCCCTTGACTGGAATCGAACCTGGGACCCTTTAGTCCACAGGCTGAAGCTCTATCCGCTGAGCCAAACCAGCTAGGGAAGGCAGCGTATCTTCAGAGCAGAGCCGGGTCCTGCTCAGCTCAGCTGTGGAAGGTGGCCTTGACCTTCTCCATCATTCATTTAAAAAAATAACACAGCTGTACTCTGCTTCCGTCATGCCATGAGAAAGCACCGAGAGCTGCAGGAACTGCGTCCACACTGGAACCGCAAGATGAAGAATGTCTCTCGCAAGCGTGTGTCTTCCCGATAACAAAATAAGAACTAGACATAATGGACATACCCAGCACTATGCATACAAGGAAAAACCTCTCCAAAAATACTTAGTAAAATACTCTAACAGCTCCCATGGAGGGGAAACTAAATTTTAATATTAGTATATGTGTTTCCCAAGAAATAGTCATCATTAAATACTTAAAAATATTAAGTGTTATTTTAAAATATTTAAGCCCTCAATAAATGCCTCCAGAGATTTGCTATAAAGATTCCTTCCAAGATTTGACTCTGGGTGGTAAACTCATCCAAATATATTAAGAGTATGAATATCCAAGCTACACACTGGCAGAAAATATTTTAAATATACTTAAAGAACGAATTTCAAAATTATAAACTCTCCTGCAACTAAACAATAAAAAGACAGCCCTCAACATGGACAAAAGGCTAAACAGACACGTCACAAAGGGAGACACAGTGATGGCCAGGAAACAGATGGAAATATGCAAAGCGTCACTTGTCATCAAGAAAATGCAAATTCATGTCACAGGGGGATACCACAAAACACCCATGAAAGGGGCCGACATTAGAAAGGCCACTGACACCCTTGACACCGTCGAGGCTGTGGGGCCACTGGAATGTTCACGCTGCTGGTGAGAGGTCAAATGGGAAGGTCAAACGGTGAGATAAACAGGGCTCTAGGTTTCACTGTTCCTTATACAGTTGAACATGCACTTACCCTTGACACCAGCAATTCCACTTCTAGGCATTTACCCAAGAGATATAGAAACCTCATATTACAGAAAGACCAATACAATAATGTTTATAGTCTTCATCATAATCGCCTCAAATGGGAAATTACCTCAAGTCCATCAACGGAATGGATTTAAAGAGTATGGCAGATTGATACAACCGTACAATACACATCAATGGAACGGAGTGAATTATTGATAAATGCAACAACATTGGATCCTCGAGACACTATTCTGAGCAAAATAAGCTGGACTTGAGAGTACCTGCTGTCTGTTGTGCAGTATGTTGATATAGAACTACATGAAGTTTTATAGAACTACATGAAGTTCTAGAATAGAACTGATTTAAGTGAAAAAAGTTAAGATTATTGTGTCAGTGGATTAACTGGAAAAAGAATATGAATGAAGAAAGTTTGGGGGTTGATTGGAGATGTTCTGTATTTTTATAGTGGTGTGTATTACAAAGGTGTATCCATTTACCAAAGTTCATCAAAGTGCTCACTAAAGATTTTTGCATTTCAATGTATATAAATATCTCAAAAAATATAAGTGAACAAATGAGAAATGCTGACGATCTATATAATTCCAAATAAATCTAAAAGGTATAATCTTCACAGGTCACAGCATCCTTGGCAATAAATGGTGACCTACTACAATGGGGCCTCTAGCCCAGGAGTGGGGAACCTTTCTTCTGCCAAGGGCCAATTGGATATTTATAACATCATTCACGGGCCATGCAAAATTATCAACTTAAAAGTTAGCCTGCTATAGTTGGTCAAACATTTAATTAACTCACCCCTAATGCCTTGGCAGGGCCAGACCAAATGAGTTCACGGGCCTCATATGGCCTGCGGGCTGGGCATTTCCCACCCCTGCTCTAGAACCTCGGAACCCAGTTAATGAATGAAAAGGGGGAAATGTTTAGCCCCTACGGCATTTATTTCAGGTGGCACAGCTGTTTGTACGCAGTAAGTTGAGTGTCCTTGGTGTCAGAACAATCACAGGAAAACCCATCCCTGAGCATGAAAATATCGTTGCTTCCTGGAATAGGATGGTGAGGAAAGGAATTTCTAGTTCCAGTATAAGGTTAAAATGGCAGGGGAAATTGTGGTTATGCATGTAACAAATCCATACCTTCTTGGACTGAAATGTGGAACTGGAAAATCATTTTCACACCACAGAGGTTTATTTTTGCTATAGGTTAACTCCCCTTTCTATCCTCACAGAGGAAAGGTGGGCACTTCAGAAATTTGCTCAAATGGAGGAGGAACGTTTCTCCAATGTCACCCAGGTTTTTCTCCGTTTCTGTAAGGTACGGAACTAAATTTCCGTTTCTTATAAAGATAAAGGGATCGTCATTGAGGCTGGACAGGGTCAGAAGTTCAACAGTAATGAACTGCAAGAGTGCCATGTACTTCTCATGGTCAAATGAAACCATGACAGTTTGTTCATCAGTTTTTCTCTACAGCATGACTGTATTTAATAGTGAGTATGGCTTTTCACCTCAACTTCATCTTCAGCCTGCATCTATATTCTTTCTTCAATCCTCCTCATTTGTAGCCAAACCTCTTTTATTTTTATTTTGTTTTCACACTCTACTTCATCCATTGGGTAGATGTTTTCCTTTGAAATTTGCCAGTCAGGAGGCTCTGCATTGATGAGATGACCCAAAAAGCTTGTGGATAACAAAACTGAAGGCTAAGCATTTAATGAGAGACAATGGATTCATCCCATTTGGTCCTGTGAGAGAGTTAGCAAACCTGCAGGAAATTCAAATCCAGGAAGCAAAAAGCCGGCCAGTTTTACAACACTGGCCCTTCCGAAATGTTTGGTTTACTTCACACAAGTTTGTTTTATAAAGAGAACATAGAGACAATTTTTCTTTCTTCCTAACCGAATGAAGGGATTAATTCACATCAATATAGCCCTCACTCTGCACAATCCTCTTCCGTGTCTTCTTGGGGAGCCCAGAATCACAAAAGGAAGAACCTAGGCTTTCTAGACAGAGATCTGGCAGAGTCTCGAACCTGCCGTGTTGGGATAGTTCCTTATTCTTAATAAGCTGCAGTATTGTGGCTGTAATGAGAAATGGTGACCTCTAGGACTGCCTTATATTTACACACACACACACAGCGATCTGAATGCAAGGCACAGTGGTGCTTGGTGCAGACAAAGCACTAAATGAACTGGAATTTGTTCAGTCTGGCTCCTGAATCAAATGACAGTTTGTCCATCAGTCTTTGCCTCGTGTCATGAGCACTGCTCCTGCCCAGTTCACTTGGCCTCGGGATTGATGCAGGCACTGAATCAGAAGGCACACAATGACCATCTCCTGCACTAACATGCTAGCCCATCACTTGGAACACTTACCCAATGCACACCTGTTTATTTAGTTATGAAGGAAACATAGATACTAAATGTTATCACTGTATATTATTTTAATAGTCACTATAAAAAGCAATTATCATCCATCACTTTGCATCAACTCAAAGGGCAATAGTTTAAAAAAAATGCCTATGTCAAAAACAACTACCTTGAGCAGAACACCTTTAAAAGACCTTACAGAATTTTCCAACGCTTCTTTTATTTAAGAAAATAAGCAAGTAAAATAGGAAATCAACAATTAAAGAGCTCATTTTGTTTCACATCAGTAAATGAACTAAATATTTTTAAGTGGTGAAAAGAATCTCTTAAGATAATGTAACTATTGGATGAGATTTTGCTTGTTACTCATTGTCCAGAAACCTAAGTAAAATTTGGGACATATATTTAAAATAATGATGTAGTTCATTCAGTTTTAAATGGAAAGAAAAAGAAATGTCAACTATTTATCTCGTTGCATTTTCATATATCAAAGTCTCCCGGGATGGGATCGTGCGTCAGAAGTATGGGTGCTGAGACATTATCGCCACTTAAGAAATATGAAGCATGTTTATAGGTTTTATTCTTCCTATCATTATGTTTGAAAACCTGATTATAATGAAGAGTGCGTCACCCAAACAACAATTTACTTGTTAAATTGAACCAATGAATGTGCTTTAAGTAAATATACTACAGAAAATTAGTTTTTGATTTCTTAAAATGTACATATTATTCATGATAGTTTTGGGGCATTTAAATATTTAAATCTCAAAAATCTAGTCCAATGAATAAAGTACACCATAAATATGAAAATAACTGCATTCATGAACAAATTTATTTCATCACCTATTTTTATATTAATTCTTCATTTAAGTGCCTACTATATAGTTATATGAAGTAATTTAAAATATTTCCTAAGGCATTAATTTCATTTAATTTTGTAACATTTTAGTGACCCTCTAAAGATTCTAAGCAGCTCTGTACACAAATAAAAATCAAGATGCAGTGTGATGACTTTTTTCATAATTTATTTTGATTTCAGTGGATATAGGGGGTTGACTTAACTACTATCCATCTACTTTCAAACTCAATGTTTACTTCTAATCAAATACAACTAATTGAGCCAGTTGGCTCCAGGCAGGCTCTCCAGCAATGGCAAATTATCATAAGCCAATAGATCTTGATTGCCACCGCCTGTACCTTTATTGTCTGTCCAGATTGTTTTCACGTCAGTTCATAATGAAAAGCCACGTCACACACAGAGGGACAGGAAACGCACCAGGGGGCTCCCCTCTCGGGAACAATCAGATTGTTAATAACCCACAAGGTAACCGGGGGGCTTCCATCCTGTAACCTTCAACAAAGAGATTCTACCGACTGGATTTTCATTAGCGACCCAACCAGCGTCCACCTTCACGCACACAGCACAGCCTATAACATAGATGAAGGTAACCAGGCATGTGCTCGAAGTCCTTGATTCAGGAAGAAAATCACTGGAAACGTTTAAGCAGGAATTACGGTCAAATATCGATACGGTTGGATTTGGCAGCAGAGGTGGGTTCTCGAGAGAGACTCCCGTCGCAAATGGGGGGCCCCACTCTCCTGCGAACCCCGCCCCCGGCGCCTTTCTGCTGCGCGTGGCTCGGGAACAGGCTGATGTCCGGCGTTCACTCGTCTTCACTCGGAAACAAAATGTAATCACGATGCTCAGGCGCCGAGTCCAGGGAAGCAAGCCCAGGGGGAGTGACGGTCGAGCGCACAGCTATGGCCCCAGCGCGGGGGGTGGGGGTGAGGGTGGGGGAGGGGGGAGCAGGGTCTGGGGTGCAGGGGGGGCAGGGGTGAACCTGCCGGGTCAGAGGTGAAGGGCAGGGGTGAGCCAGCCGGGGTCAGAGGTGAAGGGCAGGGGTGAGCCAAGCCCTAAGCGCCCTTCCTCCCCGTGCTCGGACGCTGCGCCGGCCCTGACGGAGGACGGGCCGTGGGGACCGTCACACCGCCTCCCCTTCCCTTTCCCGCTCGTGGAGGAGCTCGGTCGTCGCGACCCCAGGACCGCTGGACGCCCGCCGCTCCGACGCCCGTGCGCGCCCCGCGGCCACAGACCCGAGGAGACGAGGACACGCGACCCCGCGACCCCGCGCCCCGTACTGCCGTTCACCGGCTCGGGACGCGCTCAGGTCCCTGCAGAGCCCCTCACCCCGGCACAGCCCGCGGCGCGGGGACCGTCTGTCCGCGGACCGAGTCGGAGCCGGCTCCGCGCGGTGGCCGCCCGGCCCGAGCACCCCCGTCAGTCCCTCCCGAGGCCGCCCGCTCCGCACAGACCCACCTGCACGGGAGCTTCGTGCCTCATTGTTCTCGGTCCTCGCTCGCGGGGACGACGGCGCTGGCCGGGCACGCGCTCCCCGCTCCGCTCCCGGTCCGCCGACCCGCCGGGGATCAGCACCGGCGCTGTCCCCTCCTGGGGCGCATGCGCGTTGCCGCCCGGCGCGCGCGTTCCTGGGAGTTGTAGTCTGAGTCCCGGACGCGTCTTGCGAGCCTGCGAGCCGGGAACTACAACTCCCGGCGATTCAACGGCCAGACCGCCGCCCCCACAGCCGCTCGGCCGGCTTCTTCAGCAGGCACCGCGCTCAGCCCGGCCGCCGGCCCCTCCCGGGGCGCAGCCCCGCCGCCCGCCCCTCCCCCGGTGCGGGCGAACGTGACCCCAGCTCGGCTCACTGCAGGTTTCTGGTCCCCACCTGTCACCTTGCGAAGCGACCCCGTGAGTCCCGGGTAGGAAGCACTGCCCGGTGCTAAAGACCAACAGAAACGACCCCGGGACCGCTGGACGCCTGCGCGGGGTCCCACTCTCCGCCCTGCACCTGCCGTGCCGACCCCAGAAAGTGTCTTCCACAGGCAAGGGGGCTGGTGTCACATGGTCACCCCGGAGCGCGGGGACAAAACGACGGACAGCACACACACGAGCCAAGTGGGTTCCCGCACAATCGCGTTAGGCGCGCGCGCGCACACACACACACACACCCGCTCACACGCACTCACACTGGCACACGCACGCGCTCACACACACACACACACACCCGCTCACACGCACTCACATTGGCACACGCACGCGCTCACACGGACACACCCTCACACGCCGTACACTGACGCGCGCGTGCACACACAGGCACACAAACACGCGCGCTCGCACACAGCCACTCATATGCACACACGCGCGCGCACACTATCACACACACACACACGCACACACACACACACAGGTCCGGAGGCCCGGTCCCGCGGGCCCCCAGGGCGCCCTCGCTCACCTTCCCGTACAGATCCATGGCGGGCGCGGCCCCTTCTAGTCCGGTTCCTGCCACCGGAGGCGCGGTCTCCGCAGGAGGTGCAGATACACGCGCAGCACAAAGACGAGGTGGGGAGGATGGCGGAGGGAGAGGGATGTGGGCGCCGGCTGACGCGGACCGAGGCTCGTTCCCCGGGAGGCGCGTGCAGTCCAGGCGCCACGCAGAGAACCGCTCCCAGGACCGCGCCCGGGCGCACAGAGCGGGCGGCCCCTCCCAGCCCCAGCTCGGGCGCGCGGGGATGTTCACCCAAAGCCGGTCCTACAAAGGGAGCAGGCGCATCGCTGGAGCCAGAGCCGGCACCGAGGGCAGCCGGGTCCTTCCTCACGTGCAGTCACCCCTCCCACAGCTCACATGTTTCACTCTAGTGCAGCCACCTTTCCTCCTGGTTGGCTGACATGTGTGGCCGCGCATGTTCCCTGCACCGCCTACAGGCAGGTCTGTCCCATACCCAGAGGTCCGAGGGGATTGCTATTGGAGGCGGGGTGGGAAAGGATGAACGTGATGCAGTCCTTATTCTGGGTGAACAGGTGCCCAGGGAGCGGCAGGAATTCTGTCAGAGAAGAAGGGAAGAATATTGGAAGGCAGCGTAGTCTCCGCCCCAGGCACAGGGGACTCTGGCAAAGCTTTCCCCCTTTGCAATGTGACGGAACTGGAAAAGCCTGCTTAGACATCCCCCGTTCCCAAGGCTCTCTGCACCTGGACAGCAATCACAGCCTCAGAATCAAGGAACTGCCCCAAAGTTACAATATTCCAGCTCCTATCGAGAACACAGGGAGAGAGCTTTGGGAGCCTTCTCCACTGTCAGAGGAATCTGGGGTTAGTTGATAGGAAAACGGTTTTAAAGGAAAAATGTAGTTAATAGAAAGCAAAGGGGCCACCGAGAATGTTAGTCTGCAACGTGGGCCTCCCTACTGACCCTGGAGCAGGCTCAGCGGTCCTGAGGTCTCACCCTCAGAGGTATGGTGGGTGAGGACTCTTCAGTCTCTGTCATCGCTGTTTTCTCCTCTTTGTCCCACATCACTATTCATTATGAACTGGCTTCTTGCTACCCTGTGTTTATTGAACATTTACTAATATTCACTTTGATTGTTGTATTTATCTCGTTTTTCTATATCTGTTACCAGCCTGTGTCCGTGTCAGCTCTACTAAATAGTGAAATTCTATCAAGTAGGGTCAAGTGGGGACAGTCTGGCTAACACAGAGCCAAGAACAAAGGCTGTTAATTTAGTATTAATTAGTGGTAATGTGGCTGGTTGCGTCAAAAATAGGAATAGCTGCTTTGTTTCCATCACTGTCACCACCTCTCTGTTGGGATTTACACTGCAAAGTCAACGCCTGGGACTTGGTGTAAGAGGGCCTCACTGACGCCCTCCTCAGGCCCACGCACCCACAGAGCGGGTGGCAGGTGTCGAGCCTAGATACCGCCCGGCCATTTCCAGTCAAGGCCCTCTCGGACTCCGCCCCGGCTTTGATTTCAACTCTGTGCCTCCCTCGAATTAAAAATGCTATTGTGTCATGTTCCCTTTGGAAGAAATCAAACATCCTACAATGTCATTGATTTATTCTTAATTAAAAGGAAAAACCATTTTAACTCATTCCTGCTCGTGATGTTTCCAACCCACACATAATCAATATAAGTAAAAGGTGTTTTTAAAAAATAAACACATGCACCCCAATTTTTTTATATAACACAGATATGAGTCTACTAATGATAACTACCTTTCCTCCATATCTTTTTGTGGGAGGCATTTTGTATATGTTATTCCATCTAATCCTGAATGATATTGCAAGGTAGTGTTATCGCCCTTACTTTACAAAGAAGAAAACTAACAGGCAGGTTAAGTATTTTGCTCACAGACACCAGGCTAGTAAGGTACTGGGCCAGGACGTGAAGCTCCGGGTCATCCGGTTCCAAAGCTCAGACTCCTGCCCATAGTTTTTCTTATAAAAGGTAATGTTGCTTCAAAATAATATGTTTTATAATCTCTTACAAAGAACTTCTATCCCACAAACATACCGAGTACTGTTCAACTACAGGTGTTAGAAGTTTGGGTAAAGGTTATGTGACCTACATCTTCATTAAGGTGTACTTCTAAAAAATAGATATTATCTTTAAAAAAACACCAGCACTCTTATAAAGTTGCTACAAATTTTGAAAACAATGTTATAATCAAGGCTCACAGTTTAGATATAAGCTTTTTACCTCTTAAGTTTCTGACCAGAACAGAATAGAGGGTGGCTCTAAACAGAATCCATTATAGGACTTGCAAGGTGTGGAGCATGTGTGTGTATGGAGTGTAGCACATGTGTGTAAACTGTGTGATTTGGAAGCGGGGGCAGGAGGCTGGAGGGGGCTGAGGCAGACGTCATGCTGCTGGCACCCAGCCAGAGCACCTGAGACAGCCCGCACACCTCCCATCCTCACCCACTGCTCTGAGCTAAGCTCACATCTCAGAGCCAAGTCCAGCCACGAACAGGGTTCATGACAAACATTTCTGTCCTGAACTTCCCGAGCGTGTAAGACAGGACAGACCTGCACGTGGAGAAGTGCTCTCACAGATCACCCAGCTCGATCCTCCCACTTTGTGGATAAGAAATTAGATCCCATCGACCTAGGAACCAGGAGGTCATGGTTAGATTCCTGGTCAGGGCACACACCCCGGTTGCAGGCTCAATCCCCAGTAGGGGGGATGCAGGGGGCAGCCGATCCATGATTCTCTCTCATCATTGATATTTCTATCTCTCTCCCTAAGTCAATAAAAACATATTTTAAAAAAGGAATTAGGTCCCAGAAAAGTGGAAAGAGCTGCCTAAAGCCCCACATTTCGCCTGATGCTGTGGGGCTCTGGCAAACCCTGGGAAAAGACTGTTCTGAAAGTATAATCATTAATATAATCAACCTTGTGTGTATCAATAATTTCCATGGAGTTATTTTTAGGTTCACATATTATAGTTAGAATGGAGAGTCAAAAGGGACTCTGTCTTCATCCTCAAGGGGGCTCCAAACTGATTCTGGAGGCCAGACCTAGAAACAGGTAATAACAACAACACCAGGGGCCTAGGTGGCACCGGCAGGCCTGGCAGCGCCCACTCTCAGCTCTGTTCCTGTGGTTCATCCGAGAGCCACTGGTCAGGGCAGGTCTGCGGAGAGTAGCTGGTGCCTCCGGATGAGACAGGCCCCCAACTGCAAATGTGGAATGAGAGGCAGACTCAGAGGCCTTCAAAGGAACGGAAAGGTAATTTTGTTCTTCTTTCTGAGTCTGCAGATTAAAAAAAACCCAAGGCTCCAAGACCAATAAGGACTCAGCCAACGTCACACTAGTAACACAGCCAGGACTAATATGCCATTCACTGTCACCACTTGACATTTACTTGCTATCTTAGAACTCAACCAAATTTTTGCCCCCAAATCTTGCAATTGCCACACATAAAATCAGAATTAAAGCCTCTTCCCAAAAAACAAGTATCTGAGGGTGACCTCGCCTGTGTTGGCTGAGCTGCAGGGTGCAAGGTCTAAGGAGAGTCGAGTATAATAATTGCTTCTTCAAATGAGGGCTTGGAAAATATTTTAAATTTCATTATTTTTAAAATGTGACAGTAATTTAGCTACAGAACCAGTGTCACTATTTTGCTAATTAAACTTGACCCAAGTACCCACATGTTCAGAAGGTTACATAGTTCAGTTTCCAATGGCTTGACAGAATGGGGGCAAGGTTTCTCCTTCCTCCTCTGATTACACAAGAACCCGGGACAGGCAGGACAGTCAAGTGGCAGGTGCTGGGTATCTCCAATGGTCACAGGTGCTTCTCTTTTCCAGGTCAGCATGGCCCATTTGCAGGCAAGCCGAGCCTGGCCTCAGAAATACTGATCCAAACCCCCAGGGCACAAGCACACAGTGTATTGGTGAGCTTTGCTGTGTAACAAACGACTTCAAAGGTTAGTGATTTGACAACAGTCACTGCTGGTTTGCGATTCTGTGGGTGACGGCTGGGTGTGCTGAGCCAGGTCTGCAGAGCAGGTCCCTTCTCGGTTGGGCACACACACCTGAGCAAGCAGGTCA